ATAATGTATATTTAATAAATGTAACACATGCCAGATTTGACCTTATGACTTAAACGAGTTAGCTACATGAAATTTTCAGGGATGAAAAGCTCCTTTAAGCTCTCTTAAAACCTGCAACAATTGCAACATCATGGGATATATGACAGTTTAATGTCTGTGATATAGAGTAACAGAAACAAGAATTGGTAGAATGGACAGTTAATCTATTTCCTGAATATTCACTTAAGAAAATTCCAAAAGTACATTTTCAAAAGTCCTTCGAAGGTCACCGCTATGAGTGGAGTGGCTCTGCTCACAGTGTGAATCATTTGTTCTTTATTTTAGCCATTTAAGCTCCCTTTCTGTTGCCTTTGAGCCAACTTTCTTCTGATTGGCTGCCCCTTGGAAGGGTTTGAATAGCAGGTGGGCAGGACGGCTTTGGTTACAGTTGGAGGAGAATTAAAGGTGACGTGATTTGAAAGAGTCCTTAATCTGATCTCTAAACTTTTTTAGAAAGTTTAGAGATAAGATGTTTAGAGAAAGTATATTTCAGTTGCAAGTATTAATGATTTTAGGGGGAAAAGCCACAAAATAATAAGAGTAAAAGTGAAAAGGAGCAAAGTGCAATTATTTTTATAGAGAAACCATCAGAAAATCATCTTAGACGCATATATAATTATCCAGCTGTGCAGTCCTTAGCTTTATGAAACGTGTCTGCAGTGCAAAATAATTCGTATTCTTATCCTTATTATATCCTGGCTCTTTTACTTGCCACAGCAGGAGGAGCAGTTTCTCATACTACAAGCATGCAGACAGGGTTAGCAACCACTGTAGCAGAGGCGCTAGCAGCTAGCTGATCCGTGTGGCAGCAACATAACTTCCAAAACTGCTAATGTTTGTAATAACTAGTTAATTTGTTGCCTCACCTTCAAATAATTCACAAAGGCAGGTTTAGAGTTGACACTGAGCTTTGTTAACATGAACAATGAATACTTACTTTCCCCAATCAGGAAGTGACCCAAAGCAAGCAAAAAAAGTTAGCTAGTAGTGTGTCTACTTTATTTAGACATTATGCATCAAAATGTACTTACTGTATGACCAAGTTACTCTAATACATGATTTTTTTTTTCACATATAGATATTAGATTAAGCAAAAGATGACCATTTTCTCTCAGTTATATAGTTTGCTACCTAGCCAGCTAGCTAGCCAGCTAGCTAGACATAGATACAGATAGATTAAAAAAGTCATTTCTTTTTAATGACCACTAGCACACAATCCTGCAAAAACACTTCAGGTCCTGTAGAAGTTTAACTAGCAATCCATGAAAGCAAACAAAGACATCATCGTCTTGCACGTTTTGTTTAACATCTTTGTAAAGTCTTTATGATGACCAAAGACTGACCTTTCGGCTGTTAGATTTTTTTCCCCCAGCATTTAATTTCTGCCTTACTACACTTGTTCCTGCAGGGAGAACCAGGAAAAGATGATCTACTACCTCCTGTTGGACAGGAAAGAGCGATACCCCAGCTGTGAGGACGAGGATCTGCCACCAAGAAATGACATAGGTGAGATCGTCCTGACCGTAACAAAATAAGATGTAAAGCTCTAAATGTATATGTTAACCTTCGTTCATGCTACTATTTATTCTTGAAAATGTCCAGAGATGTTTTTAATTATTTCTTGTATTTCCATTTTAATTAATTCACAATATTTTTGTCTCGCAGACCCACCCAGGAAGCGTGTTGACTCCCCCATGCTGAATCGTTATGGCCGCAGTCGCCCGGAGAGGAAGAGTTTAGAGGTCCTCAGTGTCACAGAGCAGGTTTCTCCCACCCCGCCTCGCAGGGCCCTGGACACTAATGCATACAGCCAGAGGTACTAACTGTTTAAAACTACAAGTGAGAACAAAGTGTTCAGCTTTGGAAGAGATTAGAGCTACAAACTGCCAGAATATTTTTTGATGATTGAGCGTATGTGTTACTTTGTGTCTTTGAAAGGTCTCGTTCAGTCAGTGGGGCCTCCACAGGTCTGTCCTCCAGTCCTCTTAGCAGTCCCAGGGTAAGACCTTCACCCTATATTGTTTCTGTGTGGATCTCGGTGGTTAGGTTTAGGCAATTTTTCTGTTTAGTTGTTTTAAATGTTTTAAACATAGTCCATATAACCAACCTATATCTATTCAGAATACATATGCTGTATTTTATTTTATTTGACAACATGATTGTGTAAAAGTATAGGAGTGGCACAGACTGTTACAGTTCATTTGTAATTTGCACCCATGTGACAGAGTCTTTATACAGTTATTGTTTTTGTAAGGACACTAAGCTACAGCTCATCTTCATCATTACTCTCTCAGATTTGATACAGTGTAACTTGCTAACAGGTGCACAGTTTCTCAGTTTTATTGTATTAGCTACATATGCTAATGTAGAGCTCTGCAGATTTGCTGTTATTGTTTACGAGCACTACAAAGAAGAGTTAACTTTTTAAACGATAAATCATTAGCATAAAGCTAGTAGAGCCAGTTAGCTTAGCTGGACACAAAGACTGTACATAATGAGCTGCTGGAAATATCAACTAGCAGATCAAGTGTGTATTCTTCCACAGCAGGAATGTTTCCATTTACTTATCTTTTGCTAAAAACTGAATTTCTAAAGTAACAGTAGTGTGAGGCTGTGTTTGGATTCAGATGGTTATTTAAAGACACACAAACACATACAAAAACATTATTCTTCGCCCAAAATACATTTAATAAAATGTAACTGCAATATACAAAATCACAGGTCCAATAATTAATCATTTAGGAATTTATCAACGGAATGTTTATTTAATGTATAATTTCATGGAAAATTTACATGTAATGAAATTACTCAGGGATTTGGACCTTTTTTATTAGAGCACTGATTTTGGTAGTTATTAGTATTATTAATATATCATTAAATATCATTCTCACGTGCTTTTCTGCAAGGTAGTGTGTTGTAGCGTGATACCAGTAAAACACAAATAGTGTGTTTGTGTGTGTGTGTTGTCAGTTGCTTTAGTACATGCATCATCAGTTCAGGTCTTGACAGAAACAAATTTCCTGTATTGTGACTTTTTAATATATCTCACAAGCTCTGGCTGTCATCGCTTCTCATGCCTCGCCATCATATCGTTACATCCTGAGTCATATGCATTGTCATGTCATGCTGCCTCATGCAATGAGCTCTGTTGTCATGCTGGCATGGGTAAAACGTGTCTGAAAGACACATTTATGATAGAAGTAGGAGTAATTAATTCCATCGTTCGTTGTTGCATCTCGGTTCGCTGATAAATCATATCCATGAATCATATTTCATGACCATTTCTTCCTCTCACATCTGTCTGTACCTGTTTCCATCTCTCTCTGTCTACCAATCAGAGTCCGGTCTTCACTTTCAGCCAATCAGAAGTCACCTCCACCTCCGCTTCCTCCTCCAAAGACCCCAAACCAGGAAGTGCCACCACCCCTCGACCTACCCGCCCGGCGCCTGACCCAAAAACCCAGACCTTGCCCTCAAAAGGCCCCGCAGAGCGGCCCCACCTTCAAACCATGAAGTCCCTCCCACTCCAGACACCACGCTCCCCTTCCCCTTCGCCCTCCCCTATACTCTCCCCCATTCCACGCTTCTTCAACTTCCCGTCGCCATCTGTCTTCAAGTCCAAGAACGTCCACTCGTCCTCTAACTCCTCTGCCACCCCTCCCCCTGTGTCGCAGGTCACACCGCAAGGCTCGCCGCTGCCCACCCCGCTGGGCACGCCTGTGCACCAACTCCAACACCCTTCCTCCACCACCCCTCCCTCCTCTTCCTCCTCGTCTTCTTCCTCCAGAGCGGACGGAGCCGGAGGGGCCTCGCTGTCGCTGACCCCGCCCTCCAGCCCGGGGGGCAGTGGTGGGATGGCCGCCTCGGGCTCTGCTCACTGGAGATCCAGGCTCAACTCATTCAAGAACAACCTTCTGGGCTCTCCGCGCTTCCACAGGCGCAAACTACAAGGTGAATAAGGAGTTTAAAACACACACAATTAAAGAGAATAGTCTTTTAGCCAAGAGCAAATGAATCTTATCGACGTTATGAAGAGATGAGTCCAAGATAGGATCTATTGTTACTAAGAAAGTAGCCTGATGCCTGGGGCTGTGTTAAATAACATCTTATTTTCTAATAATATGTAATTACAGCAATTACATTTGAGCCTGTCATCATTAATTACTGTCCTTTTCTTCCCCTCTCTGACTCCAGTTCCTACATCAGAGGATATGTCCAGCTTAACGCCAGAGTCCAGCCCAGAGTAAGTACACACATTAAATCAGTTTTCTTTCCTACAACTCAAAGGGGCGCACTGTGTTTTGCAAAATCCTCCTTCTTTCACTTACATGTCTAAAGACCCACAAAGTAAGAGAAAGGCCCATCACCGATCAGATCATCCTCTCACTTTGTTCCTTTCCTTCTATAGATCAGTGGGCTTGTCTCTGAATCAACAATTCAAGTTTGCAGTCATTTCTGATGTCGTAACCGAATGAGCAGCAATTCTTAGATGTTGATCTCTTACATTCAGAATGAATGGAGCCATTCCTGCTAACTAAATATCAAACATTTGTTGGCTGCCAGGGTGAATACAACAATGTTTGTTTATTTCTAAAGAACCGATTTGTGTTAGCATGTAGCATCTAATGCTGCTACAGTCAACATCAGCACTGACTGTCCCCCACAGCACACAGATGTGTTGAAAGTGTGATGCTGAGGCACAGCCAACAGTTTTAAGACCGATTTGAAACCAATATGCAGGAACTGTGTATTGGTTGTTGGTTGCTCTGCTTTTTTCATCTTTTCTTTTGCCTTTTGTGCTTCAGTGCAAACTACACTTAGCTGGCTTTCACCTCTTTAGCGCTGTTTGCTTTTGTGCTACTATCTCTCTTCGCATTTACTGTGTTTTAATACAGCCAACTTTCCATTAAAGCTCTTCTCATGTATATAATTTTTCTGTTTCTGCTGTCAGACAACAGAACAGGTATGGCACGTTAACTCCTTGTTAATTAGCCGTCACTTGCAAGACATTCTCCGAGATAAAAGTCACGATTTTACCAAAATCACCATAGACGTTGGTTTAAGACACAAGTTAAAGCTGCTGTTTGCAGATAAACATTCAGAAACAGAGAGAGTTTGAAGCATCATGTTCACACCATGCTTCACACTGAGATAAGTCATTTAGAACAAGGCTAAAGGGCTAGTTTGTTATAACACAGCAGAGAGTAAGTTTGCTCCAGTATCTTAAGTTTAAGATTCAAACAAACACACTCAAATCTCAAATTTGTGCGTTTAACACCGCCAGGAGCAGAGGTGGGCAGATTGAAAATATTAATAGCCTGAATATCAGCACTGGTATCAGTATTGGATCGATACTGGCGCGACATGATCGATACTTTGTTTCTATCCTCTGTGTTCAGTATGTAGCCGACTGAATTCTGTTTAATAAATACATTGTAACCTTTGTTTGTTGATTTTATTCGTAGCCTACAGCTGACCCAAAGTCGTTTAGAGAAAGACACGTTGACATTCCAGGTCTCCAACAAAGCTTGTTTCAAAATCCATGAAAGGCTGAACAGGGTTTTTTTGTTGTTTGAACTTTTTTAATGTTCAAAGTAAAAATCACAGAGATTTAGTGGTGAAGAAGATTTATCTCGAAAGTCATGACACACTGCCCTCCACTACATAAGCTGCACTTATTGGTTGAACGTATCGCTGTTGGTATCGGCATCGGTTTAGGCCATGTAAGTACTTGGTATTGGATCAATACCAGAATTTACAATATGGCACACCTCTACTGGGGGGATGTACAATGGCCCTCAAAGGTCAAACGCACTTCAAATTAAAAAACAAAACGAAACACCAACACATAGAAAAATGCTACAAAAGCACTCAAAACACAACAAACACTCGAGCGAGTGTTTTTTGTGGAGACGGTAACGTCATGGACCAGATGCAGAAGTGACAAGCTAATGGCAAACAGCTGATAGCAAACATTTATCTACAGTATTAAATGAATCACATCTTTTTGTCCCTCACGGCACTGTCTCAGAGGACTCCTTTACATGCTCTGGTTTCAGTCACGTTATTTCCTGTCCAAAAACACCAACATTTGCTGGTGTTTTCTTAAGTTGCAGTGCATTTGACCTCTCAGGCCACCGTAGACATGCCTGACGTACATTATCATATTAGAAAGAGAGAACATGTCAATCAATCAATCAATCAAAGCTTTATTCGCCACATGCAGGTTGCCCTGTAGTGAAATCTTTCACTAAATAACCAGGTAACTTTTTACCAGTTTTACTGTGCTTCACCCAAAAGCCAAAAAATCCTCTGTTACTGTGGGCTGACACATCAAGAATGAAAATACATGTTGCTTAGCTCGCCACTGTGATGTGTGATATTACTGTGTTATCGACTGACTTGGTTGTAGTTGTGCTTTCTTGTCCATTTTTAGTGAATTGAACCTTTGATCTCTGTGCTGTGTCAGTGCTTATGGATGAGTGAGCCATTATTTTTCTATTTGTACTGTATGAAACGTGTGACTGAAACTAATCTGATTAATTTGCAGGCTGGTGAAGCGGTCCTGGTTTGGTAACTTCATCACGCTGGAGAAAGAGGAGCAGATCTTTGTCTTGATCAGAGACAAGCCGCTCAGCTCTATCAAGGCTGACATCGTCCAAGCTTTTCTCTCCGTGAGTGCAGACGAACTTAGATAAGCTTCGACATACTTGTACGATTCCCACGGCGGTGTTAAACGCACAAATTTGAGATTCGATCGTCATAACTTGGCATCGCTTTTTTCTTTGTCTTCTGCAGATCCCATCCCTCTGCCACAGTGTGGTGTCTCAGAATAGTTTCCGGGCAGAATACAAGTCCTCTGGTGGTCCTTCTGTCTTCCAGAAACCTGTCAAATTCCAAGTATTACTCCGTTCTTATTACCTCCTCAGCTCTAACCGAAGTGTTTTGCATGTTGTCAGTCAGTCTTGTAAGGAATAAGCACTTTTGATGAACGCTTTGAAGTTCTAAAACCTTCTGATGGAAGTACTCCTTCCTTAAAAGAATTGAGGGTTATAAAAGTTCTTAAAACCCCATTTGTGGATCTTTGTTTAACACTTTTTTCAAAAGAAGCTTTGAGGGATGTAAATGTACAGTGAGTGGTCTAGATGGTAGATGTAGGGGGTGTCCAAGTTCATAGGCTGCATCCTTCTGAGGACCCGGCCTTCATGGTCTACGTGGAGCGGGTCCTCCGAAGGCCGGGTAGGCGGTAAGTGAGCGGCTGTGAAATGGGACGGTCTAGTCTTCAGTTTTGCGTCACCGCTGTCTCGGTGGAGTTTAATAAACTCGTCCATCTGCGCTTTGCTATCTAAAATATAAGAAACAGGACACTGGCATAAACTCTCGACCGTCTCACACTTCTGTTTAATCGGTTTTCCGTTTGACGTTTATTCGGCTGTGTGAAAACTATAACTTTAATCACAGCCAAACCGATTTACTCAGGAACAAATAAAATACTGAACAAAGCCAAACAATGACATTTTTAAGTTATCTAAGTGACTTATATATCATGTTTACCCAGAGTTTACCCCCGTGGGGGGTTTGAAAACGATGTGCCGGGAGTTCGCTGTACTCGCCCTGGCTAGCTATCAAGCTGGTGGGTAACAGACGTCTCCGAAACTGTCGGAGCATTATATGCAAATATGTGATGTCTTGATAAACCGAGCGGATATTTGAAGTTTACACAGCTACATTCTTGCCTGAAAATATCTTAAAAGTTTATTTTGTGACCCAGAAAGAAGAATAAGAGTAATATTAAAACTAAGTAGCTGCTGCCATTGTTGGAAACTGGAATTGGCTGTGCTATGCATTCTGGGATAGGTTGGGCCACGAAGGATACACCCGACCCATCCTTCAATGGGAAATGAAGGATGCATTTAGAGGAGTCTTCGAATTTGGACCACCTTTGTCGCGTCACTGTGATGTAATCGGCCTACAAAAGCGGCCTGATGCTATGAATTTGGACACCCCTGTAAACTAAGTAGCGCAAAAAACAAGATGTTAAACTAAAATGTAAATGTGAGCAAAGGACAAATATTTGGCTCTATGAATGAACCAAAACAGAGCAAAATTAATGTATTTTGAAGTCAAGTGGAGGCCTTATGTGACGAACGAAGTAAGATGCGATGCTGACTTGTTAAAACGAGTGAAACTAGCTAGCTAATTTATAGAACGAAGGACCCAAATTCTGGAGTCAAGGCAGAGAAAATAACAAAAAGCAAGAAACAGATATCCAAAAAATTTAAAAAAAAGAAATAAAAAAATCGTCATTTACAGAAAATACACTAGGAGAGGTACACAGATGCTTCATCAAAGGAAATAGGGGAGACGGGACTATGAGTGGAGACAAAGCCACCGATGAAAACAAGTGAAGACAATCAGACCAACAAGAAGTCTCCAGGCCTCGAGAGCCGGTGTCCTGTAGGTTTTAGTCAACACACCTGGT